ATACCTAGTATCTTAAAAATGTACTTAGTAGTTAGATATCATACTTTGGACTGGATCTTGAGTACATATCTTTACTCCACCTCTAACTTACACCAAACCTGATATCCTGACGTAGACTAACTTTGACCAATTAACTTAAACGGAACTATAGCGCCAGGAAAACAAAGTTGTTTTCCTGGCACTATAATTCCCTATGGTGCCTTCTCGGTCACGCGCCCCCTCCCCTCCCCCCCTGTAACTCACCTGATTCCAGCACCAATGTCCTTGAACGCTAGTTCAGGCTCCGCCTCCACTGCTTTCCTGCCGACGCCAGCCGGCAGAGGCGACCTAATGTGCATGCTTGGCAATGGCGGTGCTCGCATTAGGACCTCCTCATAGGAAAGCATTGTATAACGCCAAAAGTCACCTAACGACCCGGAAGTCCTGCTAGTGGCTGTCTGTTAGATAACCACTAGGGGTGGAGTTAACCCTCAAAGGTAATTATTGCAGTTTATTAAAAACTGCAATAATTACCGTTGTAGGGTTAAGGAACCTGGGAGACTGCACACAAACTACTTCAATGAGCTGAAGTGGTCTGGGTGCCTATGATGTCCCTTTAAAAATGATAGCTTCCTCTTTATTAAAAGACCCCTTCCCCTTTATTTTTCTTTCATTCTCCTCTTTCTTCCTTCCCATATTTTTCACCTTTTGGCACTTTAAAATATAAAATATATGTTCACTCTACATAAGGAATTCAATTCATAATGTTAAAAAATGCCACAATACATTTGAATTAAAAAAGGCACATTTTTCACTATTACACGTCAAATGTATGGGTGATGAGAAATTAAGAAAGCACAAACATAAGATAATTTATCATCATTATAAAGCACCTTAATTAATTACCGTATATATTCGTGCATAAGCCAACTTTTTCAGCACATTTTTTAATGCTGAAAAAGCCCCCCTCTTCTTATACTCAAGTGAGGGTCCCACTTACCTGTTCTCCGGTGCAGTCAGCCCCCCTCCACTTTTCCTACTCTTCCCTCTGGTGCACGCTCCTCTCTTTGTGGGAGGAAGTGACATGTGGCCATCACTTCCTCCCAGATGGCTGCCGAAAAGTAAGGGGCCCGGTCACGCTGAGAGCATTGCTCCTCTCTTTGTGGGAGGAAGTGACATGTGGCCATCACTTCCTCCCAGATGGCTGCCGAAAAGCAAGGGGCCCGGTCACGCTGAGAGCATTGGAAGTGGGTAAGCCCAGTGCTCTCCATCTATCACTGCTGTAGGAGTGGATGAGCAGCAGGTAGTTTGCTTATGTCCCCTTGTTTGGAAATGTATTGGAGATAGAAAGAATCTCAGACATATCAGCAGCCGTGGGCCCAATTCCCATAGCACTCGAGTTCACGTTTTCTGGAGTCCCGAGTACTGACTATCCTTAAACCATAAATATGAAGCCAGATTGAGGCAATTATTTAACACAATATAAAATCATTAAATCCCAAAGAAACCTTTGTAATAAGGGTAGTTTGATTTGGACCATGGTACAGATAGACGCTACTCTGGAAATCAATAAAATAAGTTTCAATATTCAAAACATTCTCTTAGATTAGCACCTTTTTATATCGATAGCTATATCCTTATATGATTTAGTGGTGGCCTCCTCTGTAGGTCACATAATGTGGGTTTTACATAAAGTGCAATTGTGGGGCATGTTTTCAAGTGAAAAAATCAGGTGGAACATTTTGTTGGTTTCCATGGTTATAGCTTCACTTTCCGAACTTTGCCTTTAGAATTGCTTTTTGTACATAACCTGGCCTTTTAATGTACCTGCATTTCCCACCTTAGGCTTATACTCGAGTCAATACGTTTTCGCAGTTTTTTGTGGTAAAATTAGGTGCCTCGGCTTATATTCGGGTCGGCTTATACTCGAGTATATACGGTAACCACTATAAATTATCGAATGATAAGACATTAAGAAATTACAAGAACTTTGTATTTATTATCATTATATAGCATTAATTATGTACATATGTGGATGTATGCATATGTATTGGTATTCATCTGAAAATGATTATAAATAAGAATTAATAATAAATATTTGTTAATTATGCACAAGTAGATAATAATAAGGGTAATAAGCTTATATGTATTGGTACTGAAGTTAATATTCATGTTAAGCATCTAATTTGAATATGTATTGATGAACGGGGCATCTAACTTGCATACTTTGAATTTGCAAAAGGTATTGTATTATTATTATTTATAAAGTGCCAACAAATTCCGCAGCATTGTACAATGTACTGGCACCGGGTTCAGTTAATTTAATCGATTAAATACCAATTATAACTGATATTTAAAGAATAAGCAGAAGGGAGCAAAATGTTTTTTTTATATATTTTTTTTTAGCTTTTTTGTGTTTGCTCTCCATTGTGACATTTTTTCTAATGGAGTTTATCTACATGAATGATATTTCATGGTTAGATTGGTTGAAAAGCACAAGAAGTATAGTGAGTCTCCTAGTTGTCAACAACACCCCGGTTAACTCCCAAAAAACGTGATAAACACAAAAGGCGAAATAAAAGGTGTGATGTTCTACAATTACATGTGTGAGGATCACCAATGAGATACGGAGCCTCTATAACTCTATCCTCACTCTATTTGGGACATCCTTATCCAGAACTCACTCCTTTATTACCCCTTGGGATCCGGAACCTTGGTGCATTCAGGAGCTGACTCAGAACATATTCGAGTCTCTTTGTGGCAGGTCTTTTGACCTATTGATGTGCCTTTCTGGCCACTGTTAGGGGCGGACCACTTCTGAGTGCATTAATCACCTTATCGTTTATCATTATAACCAACAGTTTTACACTATGTTTTGATGTTTATGTTTTTAAGTGATTAAAAGCTGGAATATCATTTCCAAACTGGAATACTACCAGTATATTTTACCAGTATATTTTGGGAGACCGATAACCAGTGTATGTATATTATCTCATTTGTGATCCTCATACCTGTAATAGTAGCACACCACACCATTTCTTTTGCCTTTTAGATTGGCTGAAAGTTAAGTGTGAAAAAAGTATAGAAGCTCAAGAGTTTTTTCCATGTAGAAGTGGTATGACAGCAAATGGAGGTTACGGTGGGACTAGAGGAGGTGAGACCCCCCCAGAAGGGGAGATAACACATTTTGGCTTTGAAGCTTGTTCAAGCCATAATTTTGATATTTATTGTTTGGACTCCAGGGGGTTGAACTCTCCACAGAAGAAAACATACCTATATGAGAACATTGGTACAGGGACACATAGATGTATGCTTTGTTCAGGAGACACATTGGGACTGTAGAGGGAGAATCTCTGTGGAAGTATAAAAAAATATCCTATTAAGTTTTATTTTAATTTAAATCATAGGAATAAAAGAGTAGTGATCTTGGTCTCAGATCGAATCAAACTTGAGCATATATACCATGAAACAGATGAGAAAGACAGATATGTTATTGTTAACTGTAAACTTAACGATATAGAATGTATCCTGGTAAATGATTATGCCCCCAATAAATACCTGATTATATTTTTCTAATATTCTAATGGATAAATGGGCCACTCTAAATAAAGGTATATTACTACTGGGTGGTGATTGGAATGGCTTTATAGAAGTGGGATTAGAGAAGAGTGTATCTAAATATTGATCTTATATTGAAAATAAAAGCACAGCAACTTTCTAACTGTATAGTAAAAATAACTTAGATGATGTATGGAAAACATTGCACCCCTCCAAAAAACATTATACGGTACCTACTGTTCAGAAATGTTTCCGTCATATTCAGTTAGAGAACTAATAGTGCTACTACTTCTAAATTTCAGGAGACATGGATGCCCTGGTCAGTAGTTCAAAAGACAGAATGATCCTTGTTTATAAACATACAAAATACAATATATGTAACCCCTTCCTTTTTGGTCTAAATCTAACCAAACATTACGTTTGCTTATTTAAATTAAAGTTAGTTATTTCTACATGGGGGTTTTAAATGAATGTATGAATTAACGTATCTATAGAGGTGGAGTATCTATAAGGTATTAGCTTGTGTGATAGAATGAGTAAAGATCCAACATAAGGACTCATTATTTATACATTATTTACATATACTAATTGATGTCAACTAAGCTCCTATAAAACGGAATTTTGAGACAATCAAAACATGTACAATTAATGTAATTTAGTGTTTTCTATGTAGTCTTGCTAATAGAAAATTGTAATGTAATGAAGTTAAAATTTTTTGATATTTATTGTTTTATCATTCTGAAATAAGGTCGGAGAAATGCTGTACTGTTTAAAGAAAATATAATAAATAGAATTTGATACAAAAACATCTTCCAGTTGTTGGTAAAACCAGTTTATTGCTGATATTCAGTCAATTCACATGCAGTCAGCTATATGAAAAATGTAAATTCCTATAAATCAGATATTTTTTGGCTTATTTTATTATCAGGCAACAGATTCAAATAAATTCCAAATTTTGAGTGGTATATATATATATATATATATATATAAAATAGAAAAAATACCAGCACTCTGGGCTTTTCCAAATGTTGTTCTTTATTTTTCTGTCAATCCAGAGGGTCAACATTTCAGCTCCCGTTCAGAGCTTTCATCAGGAACGAGAGCTGAAACGTTGAACCTCTGGATTGACAGAAAAATAAAGAACAACATTTGGAAAAGCCCAGAGTGCCGGTATTTTTTCAATTTTTTATACTATTATTGTGACTTGGCACCAGGGTACAGCATTTTGACAGTTGGAGTGCAGGAGATCTATTTTTTCATTATATATATATACAGATAAATATCTTGTCCAGATGCAGCATAGCACCTTCATTGTTCATTGACATCACAAGTTAAGTCTGGTTGACATCATGCAAAGCTGCAGTAATCTGACATTTCTCCCTAGTTCCTCTAACAAGGGCATTTCCTTGCTGAGCTTTTTTTCCTATTTGTCTTGGTTTTGGTGAATTATTTAACAACCAATAATGACGAAGGGCAAGAACAAAAAGGGAAAGAAGGAAAAGACTAATAATCCAAAGAAACAGCAAACAAAAGGGAAACTACCGTGCAGAAATGCAAAGAGTAGAAAGCAAACGGGAAATAAGAACCTCAAAGGTGAGAATCTATAGATTGGAAGAAGGGACGATATAGATGTAGGTGTCTCTATTGGTGATATAAAGGGAAAGTAATAAAGAAATAATCATATTATATTTTATATAGTGAATACTGTCATCTAAAACAATTTAACAAAGTATTGGTCCATCCCAATGCAAACTACATAAAGCGATAGCCATGTACTGCCACATATCCTGCAGTGACACATTCCAGCAGAATGTAAGCTCTTAGGATTAGGGCCTTACTGTCCTGTAGCTCCAGTATCTATTAGATTGTAAGGTTATATGATTTACAGCATCACTGGGTGTGTTAGAGCATAGAGTAATAAATAGTGTAGTTATAGTGTAGGGCACGTGCAATAAATAAAAATATTGCACACTGACACTATCCATGAATTTGATTTCCCGGTGTAAAATACAGCAATTGAGCAGATAGTAATAGTTTAATATTACATACACGCTGCCCTTGCTCCGTATTAGCTAATAGTGCATTAAACAGAGCCACCCCCCACTTCACACTCTGCCTCTACCATGGAGGGCTCCCTCTCCGCCAGAGGCTTGCCATATTCACAATGCCACAATCACTGGCTGAATGCCCAGATCACAGGATAGTTAAGATAAAATACGCAATGCACTGATTTACAGTCTTTAGTCAATTTTGGTGTTGACTTGGTGCCTTAGCACTGGGTCACTCACATGTACTCTCATAATTCTATATACATTGTGTACACTCCACACAGTCCTCACAGTGAATTGGTTTTGACCATCACGTCCATTGAATAGTTTGCCCCTTACACATTTTATGGTCCTTGAGAGGGGTTTATCAAAGAGCTGTGCTCTAAAAGTGGTGCAAAATTGTAAAACTGGACGAGTCACCGATGGCATGTGCCTGGTTGTTCTTCTGGTTTCTATGGTGACTGTCCCACTTTTAGTACCTTAGGCCACTTTTGGAGCAATATAATCATATATACTGAGCTGAAATACATTATTCAGGATATATCAAAGAATCTTTATATACGTTTGTTAAAATGTCCATATTTTCCCCCTACAATAGATGGAAATAAAGAGAAACAGCCTGCTCTTTCATTAGACAGGTTTACCTTCCATCAGCTCCTTGGAGAAGGCAATTACGGAAAGGTATGTAGTATTTAAACTGAAAATATGATTTCTCTCTCTCTCTACAGGTCCCCAGACTCCAACCTGTAACATATTCAAACGTCTACTTTGTCCCCCTCTAGTGTAAACTTTTTCTTTTAGCTTTGTTCCCTCTCTCACAGTAATATTTCAGAATGCTTTCAGCAACATAATATTTATGGCATATATAAAAATTGATATTTCTAGTTGATCCATCAATTAATCAATTAATTAATTAATAGCTACAGAGGAGATTTTTCAAAATGCAAATATATGCTAGTTTTTTAGGGCAAAATACTAAATAAGAACAATCACATGGAAACCAATAGGATATTTATCAACAATAAGTACTTTACACATGGAACTGCGTCTGTTTTGTGTTGTTAAATCGTCCCCATAATATTTCTAAGGAAATAAAAAAAAAAAAAGCAAAAATGATTTAGCCAAAGTCAATAAATAGTTTTAAAAAATGAATAGACGTAAAAGCTATTAAAGCTATACGGCAGGTATGACTGGATTTATTTTGAATGACGGACTGAATAATGTAGGAGGGCCTAGGCACTTCTGTCTGTGGTCAATCCACATTCATATCAACTGTTTGGGGTACACTATGTAGCTAATAATTAATCATACAAGTGAAGTCTGTTACTAAATGAAATGATTGCCAAACTAGCTACAATGGGAGTTTTAGTTATACAACGTTCCCAACCCAGCTTTCATGGATGATGAATTAAAGATCAGAGTCTATATATCACATACTGATAATATCCAGATAGAAGTTATTGTATTTTATAAATAATAATCTACCTTTCATCATAAAGATCCTCTGAAATGTTACTTTTTGCTAAGTATAATTGAAATAAGTTGCCCAGTAATCTTCAGTCCTAATCTCCTCTGTGTCTTCTCCAGGTGATGTTGGCAACAGATAATGTCACTAAGCAGAGTGTGGCAGTGAAGATTCTTAAAAAGAATATGCTGCTAGATGATGATATGGACAACACTCTACTAGAACGCTGAGTGTTGGAAGTTGCAACTGGATGCCGCTTCCTTACCAACCTATACGCCACTTTTCAGACAGAGGTAAGAAAACAACATCTAATGTCTAGCCATCCACCCTTTAATCACAAGAAAGATACAACACGTATGATTTTATGTAGACTCTTCGTTTAACTAGTTTGATCGCTCTTTGCAAACAGAAGCGTCTGTTCTTTGTCATGGAATACTTGAACGGAGGACATCTGGAACAAATCATGGAAAGGCATGGGAAACTGGACAGAGACGCAGTGAGGTAATGCTTGAAGGGGGATACATGAAAGTAAAAGAGTAATACAGGGAAATATGGGAAGCAGTAGTTTCTCCTAGTGAGAATAGGTTGGCAATTTACAGTTTAAAATATTTTTTTGTTGTTGTTTAGTATTTGTGAAAGAAAGTTCTTTTCTGAAGACTTTTTCTGTGCCATCAGAGACACCCTTTACTTTAGAGTACCCAAGTAGTGTCCTCAATGTCTGGTTCTGGTGGTTAAGAATATGATTATATCACTCTTTCCTCCACTACTCCAGACATTTGTTTTAATGCCATTTATTGTAGTGATTTTGCCCTATGTGGCTGAGTCTTGCTATGCCTGCTACCTCCACAAACGCAGTTAGTATAAGCTGACAGGGCAATGTGTTTTCCTCACACTGAATAATGGTCACTCATACTACAGACTGGATGTATGGGAAAACCTGCTTCTTCTCATTGTGGGTGCGGCTAATGGGAGGTCAACTAATCACTGACTTTTTCCTTTCATTTTTAGAAAAATCACCTTTTTGCTACTTAAAACCACTCGTGCTTCCCATCATTAATTAATACAAGATAGCAAAAAGAAATCGATTATATTCAGTCATTATAAAACTAAGCTCTTTTAGTTACTATTGCTTTAATCCAGATTTATAATCATCTAATTTTGGCAACTCAGAATTGGCATTGCAAAAATTGTGCAACCATTAGGCCGGCAATATTGTAGCCATCTTTTCACTGCAGCATTGTGATTGGCACATTTTTTAATGCTTTAAAATGAAATGTGGCTAATAGATCATTCATGTTTCTTTCTATCAGGTTAATTGCCGCTGAACTTGTGTGTGGGCTGCAATACCTACACAGGAATTGAATAATCCATAGGTAATCTATTGTATTTATTCAATATGTATTATATTTTCTCTGTAATCTGGATGATAACATTTTCACCTTTCTATTTAATGTTTGTGTAATTATTTCTCAATCTTGATGCTTTATAACTCATTGTAAGGTCTTCTTTCTTTACAGAGACATTAAGCCGGAGAACGTTTTATTATACAGATCAGATCACGTGAAAATAGCGGGTTTTGGTCTGGCAATAGAAAATGTGTTTGACTACACTGACATATTCGGTGCCGGCACAATGGGATACATGGCTCCAGAGGTAAGGGATAAACTGTAAATGATGTAAAATGTTAATTCGAAACATAACTAATAAAGCCAGTGGGAAAACAAATACTTTGTAAAGTCCTTGACTTTAAAAACAAACAAAACCTGAATGGCTACAACAGCTACTCTCGGCACCATTAGATGCCATCTTAACTGCTATGCCAACAGCATGGTGGAAACAATTAGAAAGCTCAAATTAATGCAAAGCTAAATTGGGTTTTCATCTAACCATTTGCTAAGTATTTGGCTAACAAGACATTATGATAAAGCTCCAACAAATTCTGTAGCGCTGTACAATAGGTGGACTAACAGACATGTATTTGCTAAAAGACGAGTTGGACGCAGAGGAACAGAGGGTGTTTAGGGCCCTGCTCAAACAACCTTACATTCTATCTAGAGGGAGGGAAATTAAATTGTATTTTCTTTAAAGTGACACTAAATATAACAATAAAAAGCCAGTGTATATCTATAAGTGACAGCAAAAGCCTTTTTGTTTTTCAAATCAATGATACAAAATTAACTCTGATTTTGCCAAAAACCAAAAAGGCATCCAAATAACAAAGGAACCAATAATTTTTCCAGTGATCATCAATCCAATGTATTGGGTAACAGAACACAATAGGGGAAATATTTCAACCCATGTAGGGGTCTCTCTCAACTCTAAGTGAATCAATACAATAGTTGTGCAATGAATAGGTGTATCAGCGATTAACATAGGAAAGAGAGTACGCCCAATAGCCATGAATATTTACATTTGCTATGTAACAAGTACCACATGTTTAATGGCCACAATATAATAAAGTATGAGCAAAAAGTGTGAAAGTGCAATGATATGTAGTGCATAAAAATATACTATTAAGTGCACAATATAGAATATGGTAAATATGCACAATTAATTAATCCATACACTAATTAATATGGGGATATAGTTTTATGGATTAATGTCTTGAATTTTGTACTTTTACCATTTTCAATGTTATGCATTTTATAATATATTTTTAAGGGACACTATAGTCACCCAGACCACTTCAGCTCAATTAAGTGGTCTGGGTGCAATGTCCCTCAGGTTTTAACCCTTCAGATGCGAACATATGTTTACATTTGGGGTTAAGCCAGCCTCTAGTGGCTCTCTTCCGGACAGCCACTAGAGGCGCATCTGCGATGCTGGAGGCATATTATGCCTTCATCGCACAGTGTCCATAAGAAAACAATGAGAAATGCCGCGCATGGGCATTCGGCACCGCTGACGTCGGCGGGGGTGGAGAGGTCACCAGCGCCGAGGGAGCCCGGCGCTGGAATAAGGTAAGCTGCCCCTTCAGCACCACGGGAGGGGGACCCTGAGGGTGAGGGCACCCTCAGGGCACTATAGTGTCATGAAAACAACTGCTTTGATTTCATGACACTATAGTGATCCTTTAAGGCACTATATATTGTTACACTTCCATATTTTTGCTTTTATTATTATGGTCATTAAACATGTGGTCTCTAAAACTGTCCTACTTGTTACCTAGCAACTGTAAACATTCAGGGCTATTGCCCATATTCTTCCTGTTCCTGTGTTATTTTACTAATACACATATTTATTGCTCTATTGTATTGATTCACTTATGGCTTGAGAGAGACCCCTACATTGTCCTTATTGTATACTGTTATCCAATAGGTTGGCATGCTGATCAATAATAAAGTGACACTACAGTAGGTATCTTTTTATCAGGAATTATGTACATACTAGGAATTATCTATAGATACAATAGAAAAATCTCTAATAAATTATAGAAAGGGAGGAAATCATTGTTTTTAATGGTTTATCCTATAAGGACATGACTCGAGTACCATCGAGTACACAAGGAGAGTCTGGGCGGTTTAATATTTTTTTAAGTTTTCGGAAGAGAAGTATATCTGTTACATAATATGTCAGTTCTTTTAAAAATACCAGGTCTTATTGTAATCTCCCACTCTGTATCTTTGCTCTACAATATCTTAATGTTTTGTGACTGTGAAAGATTTTCTGTTCTGTGTCTAGTTTGTCAATTATTCTTCTCAATATTTTCTGACAGATGCTGAGGTTCGAAAGGTATGATGCTGGTGCTGACTGGTAGTCCTTTGGTGTCATCTTGTATAAGATGTCAAACTACCCTAATTGCATTCTACGAAGAAGTAAGTAGAAGTATAGATCAGGGTGTTGCAGTGGATGTGATCTACTTGGATTTTGCCAAGGCATTTGATACAGTTCCTCACAATAGATTAGTCTTCAAACTAAAAGAAATTGGTCTAGATGAATATTCTTGTTCTTGGGTAGAACATTGGCTTAAGGATAGAGTACAACGAGTTGTCATTAATGGTACATTTTCAAGCTGGACAAAAGTGGTAAGTGGTGTCCCTCAGGGTTCTGTTTTGGGACCGCTTCTATTTAACATATTTATAAATGATCTTGAAATGGGCATTGAAAGCCATGTATCAGTGTTTGCAGATGGCACAAAACTTTGTAAAGTAATAAAATGTGAGCAGGATATTGGCTTTCTGCAGAGGGATTTGGATAGATTGGGGGACTGGGCACTAAAATGGCAGATGAAATTTAACGTAGAGAAATGAAAAATTATGCACTTCAGGGTTAAGAATGCACAAGCAATTTACACCCTTAATGGTAGTGAACTAGGGATAACCACACACGAGAAGGATTTGGGAATTGTTATAGACAACAAATTAGGCAGCAATATGCAATCTCAATCTGCCGTTGCTAAGGCCAGTAAGGTTTTGTCACGTATAAATAGGAGCATAAATTCTCAAGATGAAAATATAATTTTGCCTCTTTATAAATCGCTGGTAAGACCACACCTTGAATATGCTGTGCAATTTTGGGCACCTGTTCTAAAGAAAGATATCATGGCACTAGAAAAAGTGCAGACACGAGCTACAAAATTGATAAAACAAATGGAGCATTTTAGTTATGAAGAAAGGTTAAAAAATTTTAATCTCTTTAGTTTGGAAAAAACGGCACCTGAGAGGGGATATGATAACTTTATACAAATACAGGGAGTGCAGAATTATTAGGCAAATTAGTATTTTGACCACATCATCCTCTTTATGCATGTTGTCTTACTCCAAGCTGTATAGGCTCGAAAGCCTACTACCAATTAAGCATATTAGGTGATGTGCATCTCTGTAATGAGAAGGGGTGTGGTCTAATGACATCAACACCCTATATCAGGTGTGCATAATTATTAGGCAACTTCCTTTCCTTTGGCAAAATGGGTCAAAAGAAGGACTTGACAGGCTCAGAAAAGTCAAAAATAGTGAGATATCTTGCAGAGGGATGCAGCACTCTTAAAATTGCAAAGCTTCTGAAGCGTGATCATCGAACAATCAAGCGTTTCATTCAAAATAGTCAACAGGGTCGCAAGAAGCGTGTGGAAAAACCAAGGCGCAAAATAACTGCCCATGAAATGAGAAAAGTCAAGCGTGCAGCTGCCACGATGCCACTTGCCACCAGTTTGGCCATATTTCAGAGCTACAACATCACTGGAGTGCCCAAAAGCACAAGGTGTGCAATACTCAGAGACATGGCCAAGGTAAGAAAGGCTGAAAGACGACCACCACTGAACAAGACACACAAGCTGAAACGTCAAGACTGGGCCAGAAATATCTCAAGACTGATTTTTCTAAGGTTTTATGGACTGATGAAATGAGAGTGAGTCTTGATGGGCCAGATGGATGGGCCCGTGGCTGGATTGGTAAAGGGCAGAGAGCTCCAGTCCGACTCAGACACCAGCAAGGTGGAGGTGGAGTACTGGTTTGGGCTGGTATCATCAAAGATGAGCTTGTGGGGCCTTTTCGGGTTGAGGATGGAGTCAAGCTCAACTCCCAGTCCTACTGCCAGTTCCTGGAAGACACCTTCTTCAAGCAGTGGTACAGGAAGAAGTCTGCATCCTTCAAGAAAAACATGATTTTCATGCAGGACAATGCTCCATCACACGCGTCCAAGTACTCCACAGCGTGGCTGGCAAGAAATGGTATAAAAGAAGAAAATCTAATGACATGGCCTCCTTGTTCACCTGATCTGAACCCCATTGAGAACCTGTGGTCCATCATCAAATGTGAGATTTACAAGGAGGGAAAACAGTACACCTCTCTGAACAGTGTCTGGGAGGCTGTGGTTGCTGCTGCACGCAATGTTGATGGTGAACAGATCAAAACACTGACAGAATCCATGGATGTCAGGCTTTTGAGTGTCCTTGCAAAGAAAGGTGGCTATATTGGTCACTGATTTGTTTTTGTTTTGTTTTTGAATGTCAGAAATGTATATTTGTGAATGTTGAGATGTTATATTGGTTTCACTGGTAATAATAAATAATTGAAATGGGTATATATTTGTTTTTTGTTAAGTTGCCTAATAATTATGCACAGTAATAGTCACCTGCACACACAGATATCCCCCTAACATAGCTGAAACTAAAAACAAACTAAAAACTACTTCCAAAAATATTCAGCTTTGATATTAATGAGTTTTTTGGGTTCATTGAGAACATGGTTGTTGTTCAATAATAAAATTAATCCTCAAAAATACAACTTGCCTAATAATTCTGCACTCCCTGTATATTCGAGGCCAGTATAAACCATTATCTGGAAATCTATTCATAAACAGGGCTATACATAGGACACAAGGTCACACATTTAGGCTGGAAGAGAGGAGATTTCATCTAAGGCAAAGAAAAGGTTTTTTTACAGTAAGAGCAATAAGGATATGGAATTCTCTGCCTGAAGAGGTGGTTTTGTCAGAGTCTATACAGATGTTTAAACTGCAATTGGATAAATACTTGCAAAAACATAACATACAGGGATATCATTTCTAATTAGTGGGGTAATAGCTGCTTGATCCAAGGAGACATCTGACTGCTATTTTGCGGTCAAGAAGGAATTTTTTCCTTGTTTGTTGCAAAATTGGAAGCGCTTCAGACTGGGTTTTTTGCCTTCTTTTGGATCAATAGCAAAAAACATATGTGAGGAAGGCTGAACTTGATGGACGCAAGTCTCTTTTCAGCTATGTAACTATGTAACTATGATTACAGGGCATGATGCCTTTGATGGCAGTGTTTCAGATGAAGATACACCAAGTTATCCAGCAGATCTCAGCCCTGAGGAACGAGATATCTTAGAAAGGGTGGGTTCGATTGTAGGTTATAGGATAATATCATGAAAAAGGAAGATATGAATTATTAAATTTATTATATCCTAAAAAGCCTTAAAAGGACACTATAGTACCAGAACAACTACAGCTTAATGTAATCGTTCTGGTGTCTATAGCCCATACCTGCAGGCTTTTTACAGAAAAAAAGCAGTGTTTACATTACAGTCTAGGAACACCTCTAGTGGCAACTCCTCAAATAGCCACTAGAGGTACTTGTTCAGTGCTGCACAGTGAGTGTGCAAACCTATTACCCCCCCTTCCAGTGTGTGCACAGTAAGTACATGAATACAATTCAGAACTGTCACTTGTGGGGTCCTATATTTTTGAAAAGACCTTCCTCTGCTTGAATGGTTTTACTTTAAGAGAACTCTGAGCTCCAAATTGTGTTGAGTTAAAGTTAGTGGGGGCATGGCAAGATGTTTGCCTAACATATACTATCATCATTGTTTATATCTTTTGTATATATACATCATCAGAGAGTTTAGAAGAATCTGGGAGCACAGAGCTCGAATTATCTTCTGATGAGTCTTCAGAGGAATCTCTTGATTCAGAAGATCAAAGGCTTTTTGATGGGTTCAGTTACATCAACCCCAAATGGATTGATTTAGCCATGTTTCCTGCAGCCCAATCTGCAGAAATATCAACAGGAGGAGGATCATCTGTTGGACCTGCACCTTCTCCCCTGCAACTGGAGACAACAACTTAAGCAATGTCATCTGCAGTGGGAGCAAAGGAAAGGAAGAGAGAGTGACAGAGTGAGTCAGAATTCACTATAAAAAAGAAAAGAAAATCTGAACTGACTGAACCAACACCAGGACCTTCTCATCAGACATTTGGCATAGGAAAAACATCACCTACCACCATGCAAAAGGTATGAAAATAAAGATGTTATTAGCATTGCTTCAATTAGTTAGAACCATGGACTTTCTAATATAAATAACTAAAAATATTTTAAAACTTGAGGCTGAAATCTTGGACGTTTCTTTTGATATTTAATCAGGATATTGTCCAATAAAGACCCAAATGAACAATCTGAAATTTAAGGTTATTTTTTTTTTGTTTATTGTGGCTGGTTTAAAGCAGTGAGAGCCAATCAAGGGAAAAGGGAGAGAGAGGGTGAGTCAGAATTAGCTCCAAAAAAGAAAAGAGATTTTAAACTGGACGAACCAACACCAGGACCTTCTCAGGAGACATTTGGCATAGGAAGAACTACACCTACCACCATGGAAAATGTACGAAAATCAGGTGTTATTAGCAATGACTCAATAAATTGGTATCCTGGACATTCTAATATGAATACCTCAATATATTTCAAAACTTGACCCTGAAATCTTGGACATTTGTTTTGATGTATAATCAGCATAGTGTCCAACAAAGACTCAAAAAGACAATCTAAAATTGAAGGGGTTTTTTGTGTTTATTCCCTGCAGCAGGAGACAACAATCACAGGTGTGTCAGCTGCAGTGAGAAGCAAGAAAAGGAAGAGAGAGAGTGAGTCCGAATTTGCACCAAAAAAGAAAAAGAGAATCTGAACTGGACGAGCCAACAACAGGGCCTTCTCAGTGGCACTGGAAAAACATCACCTAACACCATGCAAAAGGTACAAAATCAGGTCTTATTAGCAATACATTTTCTAATATGAAAAACTAAATATATTTTAAAGCTTGGCGTTTGTTTTGAAGTGTAGTCAGGATAGTGTCCAATAAAGACCCAAATGACCAACCTAAAACTGACTTTTTCTTGTTTATTGTAAAAGCTTTCCCCTTCTACCCTTTAACAGGAGACAACAGTATCAGGAGTGCCATCTGCAGTGACAGACAATAAAAGTAAGACAAAGCAGAAAGAGAACCAGAGTGAGTTGGAATTCACTCCACAAAAGAAAAGTAAAATCTGAACTGGCCGAGCAGGACCTTCTCAGGAGACATCAGGCGTAGAAAGAACATCCAATATTACCATGCAAAAGGTACAAAAATAAGATGTTATTAGCATTGCTTCAATAATTTGAATCCTGGGCTTATTAATATAAATAACTAAAAATATTTCAAAACTTGACCGTGAAATCTTGCACGTTTGTTTTGATATGTAATCAGGATACTGTCTAATAAAGACCCAAATATGAAATTGACGGGTTTTGCTTTTCATTGTAGACGGTTTGCAGTAAATCTCATCCCCTCGGAGCTCTGGCATCAGGTAGAACACAAGATGGGAGTGGGCTGGTATAGAATTATTTCCATTCCTGATTTTATTCTCAATTATTATATTAATTGGTCGAATATAATTTAATGATAAATAGTATGTAATGTCAGTTTTTAAACTTTTTATTGAAGGTAAAGTTCTGCTGACTTAGCAGTAGGGATTCTAGTAGATCAGGATTTGCTGGATAAACATCTATAAAATACCATGCAGTTTAATACCAAACTATTATAACTGCTGTCTAATACATAGGCCTCCATTTAATATTTTTAGATTTACAATTTTTAATATTTTAGATTTACAAATGATTTAATATTTTGGATAAACTTTTAAATTAATATTATGACAAATATTAATATTTTGATATTTTTCAACATCTAAATTATATTTTCTTATGTATGATATATTTTTTATCTTTTAATGTTGAAAAATATAATAATTTTAAAAGTTTATCTAAAAATATTAAATAATTTGGAAAATTATCCAACAATATTAAATCGAGGCCATAGTTAGGCATGATATTGACTGTTCTATTTTTAATTAATTGTCTTCCAATTCACCAGAGGCAGAATTTCCAGGAAAGTCATCTACACTGAGTGCAAAGAAAATGAGAAAAAAAGAGTTTAAAGTGCAAAGAGTGGAACAGAATTTATAAATAAAAAATATATATCTGAAAAAATGGAGATGTTTTACTATTAAAAAGTATTATCATGGGTTGGGGTGGACCTGACTGGGAAACAGTAGACACATGCTACACGAGCCCCTGAGCAAAGTCTGACAAATAAGCTTATATACCAGCCATTTTACAGTTTTACACCGCAAAACATATGTTACCACACAATGGAGATCCGGGTGACTCGTCTGTACTTTACTGACCCAGGAAAACGTCTCTACACTATTTGCAGCCTTCAAGCGGCGTTGGAAAGATGGCAACTCTCCAGATGCCGCATCTTGCTACACACTGAAGACTTCTGCATTCTCCCACCCGTCCTTTGGTCTCCACTAGTGTGCCAACCTAAGATGGCTGAGAAACTCAGAAAACTCCAGCGGGTCAAACACTCAAGGCCACTTTTCCAAGATGACTGCCGCAGCGTTCTGGGCCTTCCACGATGAGCTCATTACACAGGCCTTTGAGCGACTGTGGGTGCGATTCCTGGCTAAATTGAGCCACCAAGCTATGAAAAGTGTGGAGAAGGAAAGTACAAAACAGCCACACGCTGGCAGAACCCCTGACCCAAAACCTGCTGGATCTCACCAGATCATGACACCTATAGCGAGACAGTGGAGACGGAGTCATATGCCTTGTTCTAGACAGCTCTACCCTACAGGCTGCCGCTGTCTTCCTAGGCCTCAGACCATCTGGGAACGACTTCATCTGAGCAGCTCACACACTGGGGAGGATGGGAGACCCCGGGTACACATTCGGGTCGCAGATAGCAATAAGACCAGTGGGCAGCAAGCTCTGGACTGCAATGGTGCCTGAGGCTGGTGGGGCACCAGTGGCGCCACTAGGGGGGGGCCATGGCCCCCCCTACATCATGCTGTGCCCCTCTTTGGGCCCCCCCAAATGCCAGCAACTTGCTGGCCATGTGCTTAAATTATATTCCCTCGGGCTGTAACAGTGTGTGACAGCCCGAGGAAATGCAGGGGCTGGAGAGATGCTGGGGACGGAGGGAGCACTGACAGGCTCCCCGGCACAGACTCGGCCCCCAAACCAAGCCCCGCCAGACCATGCTGCTGCAGAAGATGGCTGTCTGACCTCCAGTGACAGGTAGACTTGGTGTGCATGGACTCAGCAGAGTCTGTGTGTGTGTGTGTGCATGGACTCAGCAGAGTCTGTGTGTGTGCATGGACTCAGCAGAGGCTGTGTGTGTGTGTGTGTGTGTGTGTGTGTGTGTGTGCATGGACTTGGCAGTCTGTGTGTGTGTGCATGGACTCGGCAGTCTGTGTGTGTGTGTTTGTATGGACTCAGCAGTCTGTGTGTGTGTGTACATGGACTCAGCAGTCTGTCTGTGTGTGTGTGTGTGTGCATGGACTCAGCCGTCTGTGTGTGTGTGTGTGTGTGGACATAGGACATAGCAGTCTGTGTTTGTGTGTGTGTGTATGGACTCAAAAGTCTGTGTGTGTGTGTGTGTGTGTGTGTGTGTGCATGGACTCAGTAGTCTGTGTGTGAGTTTGTATTTACTCAGCAGTCTGTGAGTGTGTATGGACTCAGCAGTCTGTGTGTGTATGGACGCAGCAGTCTGTGTGTGTGTGTGTGTGTGTGTATGGACTCAGCAGTCTGTGTGTGTGTGTGTATGGACTCAGCAGTCTGTGTGTGTGTGTGTGTATGGACTCAACAGTCTGTGTGTGTGTGTGTGTGTGTGTATGGACTCAGCAGTCTATCAATAATTAAACGTCCTGTGAGTTGTTGTGTAGGAAGGGCCCCAGTGCATTGCTTTGCCTGGGGGCCCTTAACTCTGTTAAAATGGTACTGCTTGTGTGTGTCAGTGAGCTTCTATTTAGTGAGCATGTGTGTGTCAGTGAGTTTGTCTTTAGTGAGCTTGTGTGTGTCCCTGAACTTCTTTGTAGTGAGCCTTCTGTTTATACAAGTGAGTTTGTCTGTAGTAAGCTTGTGTGTGAGTCAGAGAGTTTTGTCTGTCAGTAAGCCTATTTGCACATGTCAGTGAGCTTGTGTGCTTACTGTACTATATATATATATATATATATAAATATATATATGTATATATATATATATATATAAATATATAGACTTGTAGGAATGGCATACATTTTTTTTCCAGGGCTGCTTTGGATTCCCAGTTTGGCTCTGCCAGCGAGTGCACTTTACCGCTGAATCACCTGTGTGAGCTGCCGCACACTTTAGCCCTGTTACACGGGTCTGGGAGCTGCTGTTGACAGGTTCTAGTAGTCTAAAGATTGGGACATGGGGTATATGCTCAGCTATCTGTACAATACAGATCTGTGTGTATATAATATCCCGGGATAGTCAGTGCTTCCTGTATAGTGCTGCTCTCTGTATAATACAGGCCTGTGCCTGTATAATAACCCTGGACAGTCAGTGCTCCCTGTATAGTGCTGCTCTCTGTCTTGGGATATTATACAGCACTGACTGTCCCAATTTATTATACACACAACCCTGTATTATACAGAGAGCACTGACTGTCCAGGGATAGTAATTGATAGCTGTGCTGCAAAAATGTACTTGGAAATTTTTTTCAAATGTTGGCAACTATGGCACTGTATCAAGGGTAATGTGTATGTTTTTTAATAATCCCTGGTGGAAAATAATGAATCCTCCACCAGGGATTATTAAA